GCCCACAAATCTATGAAGGATGTGAAATAAAATGCCTCCTCCTCATCAGAAAATAGATAATCTAAACTGTAATCTACACTGACCTAAACACAATGTAGAACAAAAAACTTCCTTTTGTCTCACATTATACATTTTTTAGCAATAAATCCAGCAAATTTGATAGTTTAGTTTTTTTGCAGAGGAGAAGAATGGTATTTGCACTTACATTTTTATCCAAATTGTGTAAGTGGCGAATGCTACCGGTAGGGCAGGACAAGCTTACCCTTTTTGCAAACACCTCATGTCATCACTGACGTTGAGTGATCCATTCAAATAGATGTCTATTATGCCCTATGGAATCTTTGGCAGACAATCGAGACTAATTATTCTCTGGTGCTGACGTATATATATATTTGTATGCAATATCCCAACCTCCCCCACCCCTCACCCCCTCCACTAGGAGAGAGAACTGGTCTCCTAGTGCCCTTCAAGGATACATCGACCACTTCTCTCATGACTGTGCTTTGTCATATTGCGTGGGCTCAGACTGCCTGATTCCAGCAATATAATTCTCCTCTATATTGCATAATATATTGACCTTATCAAAATCACTGCAGGGGCCTCACATCACATGCATGTCACAACATGTGCACAACACTCCACAACACAGCTGAACAAACAGTCAGTGCCAATCATGCCTTCTGTCATAACACATTTAATATTTATATCACTAAAGAAGAAATATGGAGCTGCCCATCACATCCTGTGAAGGGTCAATAAATCGGCTTCCATGATTTTCTGTGGTCCTGCTGGTATAAACTACACTAAAACAGAAAATATAACAGTATATATCATGGTATGAATTAATTATGTATGAACCATACATTGTGACAGAAATGCATTAAATAATCAACTACGAGTATTTATCACTGATTTACAATCACGTCCTGAGCCCCCGTTCCACAAAGCGATCGTAGCTCTAAGATGATCGTAACTCCCATACTTTAACATAGACTTATGACTGTCGTAGCACTACGATCGCTTTGTGGGAAGGGGGCCAGGCAAAATGACATAAAACACTTACACATGGACAAATGATCCCAATATCTCCCAAGGTGTTAATCATAAGAATATTGATAATAGCAGGATCACTGAGGGTGAGTTGAGTGATCCGAACCCAGGCCTTTGGCTTAACGAGCAAACCTGTGACTGGGCTAACCTACCTCTCCCTGGAAGAGGCACTGAAAACTGGTATGAACAATTTCAATTCATCCTCTAAAACTGGCTTCCACAGGATGGTCTTACAGGGACATAATGATACATTGTTGTGAATGAACCACTGTGATGTCACAAAGGAAACTGACCAAGCAGTACATCACACAGTCTGTCTCCGAAACCCTTGAGAATTATTCAAGAAATGAATCCAACTCATGTCTCGATTGATTTAGCAAGTCTAGATTTAATGCTGAAATAAAGCATTGGTCTGGGCTCCATTTGGATTTTACTTTATATTTTGTAGATACATATCTTTAAATATGATAACTTTATTTCTTGGGGTAAATATTAGTCTTGGTCTCACAGGGAAAATGGCTTTATCAAGCTGAATGCCCAACCTTATCAATGTGATTACAACCTTAGCGATGTGAACACAACCATATCGATGTCAACTCACCACCATATCAATGTGAACACAATCTTATCAATGTGAACACACAACCTTATCATAGTGAACACAACCATATGGATGTGAATGCCCAACCTCATCAATGTGAACACAACCATATCAATGTTAACTCGCAACCTTATCAATGTGAACACACAACCTTATCATAGTGAACACAACCATATCAATGTGAACACAATCTTATCAATGTGAACACACAACCTTATCATAGTGAACACAACCATATCAATGTGAATGCCCAACCTTATCAACGTGAACACAACCATATTGATGTCAACTCGCAACCTTATCAATGTGAACATATAAACCTATTCATGTAAACCTTATTCATGTTCAGTATTGCCATTCATGTAAACCCATGACCTTATTCATGTAAACACATGACTATATCAAATTAAACATACAAATTTATCAAGTGACAGCCTTCAGATGTTTGAGAATTACAGGGCAATGACTTTGAAATCCAATCTTTGAATGTTTTGTTTAATAACAGCCCTGTGATGAAGTCAGCCCAGCTCCCTGTGGTGGTGTAACCTTATCACTGCCTGTATTACCCCAGCTATGTGTGAAATGTGTGTGAAGATGCCGTATAGTATAGACATGTACATGAACCTGCTGACATTGTGTCCCATACTCCAGGTATTAAAGTCAGCTTCCTTGCTGTGATGGTGGGAGCTGAACACCACAGCTGTCGTCTACAGCAGCAGCAGCAGCCACCTCACACACAACCAACTCGACAGGAAACAGCTTCCAACAACCACACTGGGGACGGGAGGCTCATTTCCCCACTTCGTTTCTTGAACCGACCCAGACTACTTTTTCAATTAGATGTTTTGACTGTATTTTTCTTTCTAATCTCATCAGGGTTGAGAAATTAAAGATGCACGACCTCCTCTACTGGAACATCAATTTTAGTTCCACAATTTGATTTGAGAAAAATGTTAAATAATTTCAGCAAACCAAAGGGAGAGTAACTTATAATTGCATTACGTTGGCACAGTTTTGAAATGGTTGACATTATTCAATTTTGAGAAGAAACATATCACAAAATGAGCTCGAAAGTGTTGGCATAATGTGGGCAAGGTTTTAAAGCATTACAAGGAGAAACAGTGCCTGTTTAAGAAAACATTGTGGACGTTACAAAGACCGACGTTCCCGAGTAGAGTGAAATGTTGTCATGTATAAGTGATGTAGTTTGCCATTGTAGTGAGTGAGATTGTCGTGAGTGCGTAAGTTGGGTTTAACTTAACACAACACTGAACAGTATTTCAGTTTATTCACAGTGTGACCATAACATAGGTAAAGCCCATAGTAATAAACACAGGTCAGACACATTTAAAACTTTGGTAAAAAGATGATCATGAGTATTTGCTGAAAGACATTTGCACAATAAGAAAAGGTAAGATTCCTTTAATCCAACCTGCAAGCATTCAGCAGATCCTAGACAATCTTTCTAAGGTTGCATAACAAGCTGACCTTCACGGCTGACAACCAAACTGTCCATCTCCAGATGGTTGGTTGTTGTCCCAGTAAACAAGAGTCCATCTATATCACCTAAATACCGAGGACTTACATTTACTGGAATCTCCACATGGACTGTTTCATTGGCATTTGGGACAAACTGTAGTTTTACGGCAATTTATACATGGCTGTGAGAGTAAATAACACATAAAACTAAACCTGTTGAAAATCTTCCCACAGATGTATAGAATTTTAGCTTTGAAGTTCATTCACAATTTTCAGGAATACTCACTGAACACCAATACTATTTTATTACGGTACATCACATTGATCAACCTAATAAATCTGTTTTGAAATAACCAAGACCGCTGTGATATGTCATAAATCGGGGCCCTAAATGTGGGCAGTGGTCACCCCCATCTGGGATGGCAAGGGTGAGCAAACCTCTTTTGTTCCTTCATGAGTTTGTTGTTCACGAGTTTGCTCAAGAGGGAGTGAATGCTTCAACAGTTTCTCAGTGTAGTGAATGATTCTTTAAAGGTTCTTTTATGCCTTGCTCAGCAATATTCCAGCTATGGCATGGCTTAGGACTTGCTGATTATCAAGTACCAGCCAGACAAGCCAATTAGGTTGATGGCCTGAACAATCCGTGTCATCAGGGTAAGATTATGTACATCCAGCCATGTCACACTGGTAACCAACTCTGCAGTTGCCCGAGAGAAGTGAATGTATGTTGTTTTATGCCAGTCAGCAAAATAACATCTATATCTCCAAGGCCTCCATCTTTAGTAAGGGCAGAAAAGCAAACCTGTGGTTGATAGCATGATTTGTTGTTTAACACTGCACTCAGCAATATTTCAGCTATATGACGCAGCCTGTACATAATCCATGCTTGGCCACACAATCCATGGCCAATGACTGACATCATGAAAAACGATCCACTCCATCAGGGTGTAATAAAAGTTCACTATATATAAGTCACCGAGCCTGATCACTGATCCAATATGTTACAACCTCTTACAACCAGCATAGGTTGCAGGGGCCCGACCAACAAGGCGTTGGTTGCTAAGGTGGTCGTAACTCCCATACTTTAACATAGATTTACAACGTTGCACGATGATCGCTTTGTGGAACGTGAGGGGTGGTGGGGTAGCCTAGTGGTTAAAGTGTTTGTTTGTCATGTTCGATTCCCCACGTGGGTAAAATGTGTGAAGTCCACTTCTGATATCAGACCCACCATGATATTGCTGGAATATTGCTAAAAGCGGCGTAAAACCAGACTCACTTACTTACTTGTGGAACATGGCCCTGGGGACCTATTCTAACCCTGAAACTCAACAGGGATTGTTAGCATGAGCAACAAATCCTCATCACTAGGGTATGATGATGTACAAGGAGTCAAGCCACTTATTGCAACAACCTGACACGTTTTAGTACGACCCTCTCCATTCCTTGACTTTCTGTGTATAGGAGAACAGCCAGGGGGAAGGACCACGGACTGATATCACAGCGGGTTGGACAATGCGATGTCATCAGAGTGGATAAGGTATGAACTGTTGATATGCATTTCAAAACAACCTTTTTTTTATTAAACCTCATCCATTACTCATTTTCAAACAAATCTTTGTGTTCAACAAATGCTCTGGTCCACAACTGGAAGCAAAACTTGATGAGGACCAGTGATTCTAAACTGAAGGTGCTATTGAGGAAAGCATATACACATCCTTTATTGTATTTTCCATACTGATATCCATGATGTATCGGTGTGAAAACCTGCTCTAAACTGGGTTGTAGCTCTCACAATTTCACAGTGAGTTTTTCGGTGGGACTAAGGTCTTGATGGCAATCTGAAAAATCATTTGTGAGTAATACTTACAGATGGCCACTGAACTCCACAGAATTCTTGTATTCAATTAGGATGTCTTTCTGAAAGAAAGAATCAGAGCAATATAATGCAAACTCTTTTACGATTACCACTCACACAGATTAATTTATGCATCTCTGATAAATGTCAAATCAAAGCAACTAACAAAAACTTCCTTCAAGATTAAATCTGGCAAAGAGTCTGACATTTACTTCTTGTAAAAGATGACTTTATGTATGCTTTCGTATTGTTTCTTACACAAGGCCACAATAGTTCACTGAGAAACTGGGTTTCGAGTGAACAAACAGAGGCAGGTTTCTGGACAGAGAGACCTTAATTACTCTACGTTCCCCATCACATCATCAGCCATCTTGTTGTCAATGGCCACACCAATGATATCAATGGGACATAAAACCAGACTTGAACCCTCATTTGACCCTTCAACTGAACAACTGCCACCTTATGCAAGTTATATATAAATCTGCAAGTTCACAAATAACTATCGATATTATGACAGGCAACATTTTGTGTCAACCAAGAAATCATACCACACAGAAACATGGGGCAGTACTTTCCAGACATAGAAATGTAATTATTGTAATTATTGATGTTAAACAACTAAACAAAAGTGTTATTGAGAATTTTCTAACGTTTATGTACACTAATATCTATTTTAACTTTGATAATTTCAGCAAGACACATTAAACTACGGAGGGGGAATTAATCCCATGAACGAGTCATAGCCAATTTCACTTTTTAAGGTATTTATTTGATAAATCTACTAAAACAAGTTTGGTTAACCAGTTAGTTATTTTAAAACCATTTCATACTTATCACTGCTTCAATTAGCTCATTCTGAAGGATTCATTGTTTATATAGAGAACACACAAAGGCATATCCCATCACATATGATTAACTTATGTATTGTAAACCCCTTGACTTTAATTTTGAAGAAAGAGAGCAATATTCCAGCAAAATTACGGCAAGAGAACCAGAAATGGGCTTCACACATTGTACCCAAGTCGGGAATCAAACCTGAGTCTTAAGTGTGACAAGCAAACGCTTTAACCACAAGGCTACCCCACCGCCTCATAGTCTTGAAGAACTTGCATAAATGTCATATAAATGTAAACTTGAACATGTTTACCAGTTTACAGGCTGGTTAATGTCACCAAATGTTGAAATGAAGTCTGACAAGTACTTTGCCATCTCATGCAAAAATACATGAATATAAAAATATGAATCAATAACAACTCAATTAGATGCACATAGAATGATATATATGAGTTAAATATTGACACTAAATGTCAAATACGTAAATAAGGTTGTACAATGAATGTGGGCTGCTACAACAAATGTCATACTGTTTTTATGATGAATTTATACTTGTAACATTTCTATACATGCAAACTTGCATTTAAACAAGTGTGTTAAGTGTGGGCGCGTATATTAAAATGAGCGAGTGAGCTATACCACGGCGTCCTCCACCACATGTTTCCATACATGTTTTAAATCCCCAAGATTTATATTAAGCCCCCAAAAAGAATTTATTATCAAATTTTAAAATAAAAAAATATTAAATGTGTGACCGGAGGCAGTTTATGTTTTATGTATATTTTTGTGTCGTAACAAACTGTTCAAGGCATGTGGTTCAGATGAAGTATGGATGTGTCTGGTAGGACTAAGTCTATGGTGTATGTCACAAAGTTAGAAGTATGTGTACAGCAATTCTTAAATTTGTAGGCACTTCGGGTCAATAAAATGAGGCGGGGAGGTGAGGTGAAATGGGGTTTAACGTTGTGTCCAAGATTATTGCACTTATATAGCGACGTGCATGCACGTGTATGTGTGTGTGTGTGTGTGTGTGTGTGTGTGTGTGTGTGTGTGTGTGTTTGTGGCTGCTTGTACTAGTCCAGACTGATGCCGATTTATAGTGCTAGCACACGGAGATAGCATGCCGCAGTTTAACATGAATACCCCACTCAGACACAGTATACTGACTCCGAGCCGACCAGTCCTTGTTTTAGCCCCTTAATGCGATGTGCCAGACAGGGTAACAACAAGTATCATCTTTTAACGTCTTTTGGTATGACGCGGCTGGGGATCGAACCCCAGACCTCCTGCTCTCCGGGCAGATGCTCTACCACTAGACCACGGAGACGGTCCCAATAAAATGACATAAGGTGGTTTGTTTATAGTGAGGCAAGCTTGGATGAAAATCTAATAATTATTTTATTTTAATAAGTACTTAGCATTTGAAGAAGTTGGACTAAAGGGTATTATTATTAAGCAGTATCTTTCAATATTATTAAGCAGGCCAATAAATTATAATGTATATAAATGATAGGTTTACTATTACTCGACTTGCTTTCGACAAACAACATATATAATGATAGCCCATCAGTATCTTTTTGAAGAATTAAGGTTTAGTAGGTGTAAAAGAGTTAGTGAGTGAGTGAGTGAGTGAGTGAGCTGGGTTTAACACCGCTTTTAACATTATTCCAGTTATATCACGGCATGTCAGCTTAATGTGGGAGGAAAGCCCGAAGTGATGCAGGTCTAAGACGTTTACCACTTCGGTGAAACCCACGAGCACGGGTATGGTGCTGACAAACCTAGAAACATAATTGGGGCGAACCAGGATTCGAACCCACAATCATAGGTTTCTGGCATGCCCAAGGGACGCAACTCTGCACAGCAAATTGCGGCGCCTTAGACGACTGGGCCCCCCATGCCCCCAGGTGTAAAAGAAATGAACATGTTATTACAACAGGACAATGGAAATTATAAGCAATATAAGCCAAACCATTATCCAACCTGCATTGTTATCTTATAAATTCCAGTCAGGCATTTTCCTCAAGGAACATATGTCCCAAACATATCTCTACTGTCCATTCCCATAATTCTAATCCCCCATCACCACCATCACGCTTGAAGTTCAGCTTTAATGACAACATTATGGGATGGTGGCAATATAACAGCCATATCATAGAGGATGGCACACATTGTACCCATGTGGGGATTCAAACCCAACCCAATGCTGGCAACACCAGGGCCACTGGGCCACTCCGTTGCCCCTTATCATATATCTAATCCTTGGAGGACACAGTCACTGCAGACCTGCGTCGGAGTGCAACTCAGTGTATGGCATTTTGCTGGGCTACGAAAGATATCTGCAACCCTGCAAAACACTTCTCCATGAAAACCATATGACTGTGCATCAACACAAAGTTCAGCAAATGCTGCTGTGGGGTGTTAGGCTGAATTGGTGCAACAGTATTCAGTTTTACATTTTTCAAGAAAATGAAAAGATTGTATATACAACAGCAGTTGTTAAGTACAAAATTAGGCTGATTTATCTCCGGCAAATTCGTTTACACAAATTACATTCATATCCATAAATTATTTCTGACATAGAACAAAAGGCATGTGCTAAGCTACTTCCATATTACTTTTTACAATATCTTCTTAGCCCAGTATGCACCGATGACACCAGACACAAGTGGTAACTTAATTCCTGTTGTTGCTAACCTATACTAACCTCAGTCATACTGAGTCATACTGAAGGGTAATATGCACTGGGCATCACCTAACGACATCAAAGATGACCTTCAGTCCAAATTAACATAATTACAATGGAATTTATCTTATTTGAATTAGTAAATGAGATTTTATTTTATTGTTCTCCTGTTTTATTGGCCTCAAGTCACATGCATGAGTCACCAATGCATATAAGGAATTTTAAATGACATATGGCATTACAAATCTATTGTAACTGAAATGCAATAAAGATAACATCAGGGTACTGGTTCTCTGGTATCTACCAGTTTTTGACTTGTAAATCCATCAGTTGCCAGAAAATAGTTGCTGGTCTTTGTGTCAAGAAGAAATAAAATTCTGCAAGCATTTAATGAACATCTGTGAAAACTGAGAAGGAATAACCTTACGTGAGCATGTACATGTTATGAAAGTTAATTGTGGGTGGATGAGATAGGTTGAAAAGCAGCTTTGAAAACTATATGAGTTTTATCGCAGTGTGTCACCTAAATGTGGGAAGACAGCCTACACCGACACAGGTCGTAACATTTTTTCAACCACTTTGGCAAAACCACCAAACATTGGGCTTAGGGCTGACAAACCAAGGTTCATAAACAGAGCAAATCTGGGATTTGAGCCGACCCATTGGCTGATCCTGGCATGGATAAGGTACTCAACTCTTTGCATCCCTAGACCACTGCACCATGAAGGTTAACAAGAAGAAGAAGTCATTGGTATCCACATAAACACTGCATAATGAGCAGTCCCTCTCTGTCAGGTATGATAACACAACCAAGTCATCAAGCCTGACTGCCTGAATCATTTAGTTGCCTCTCAAAACAAGCATAGGTTGATCGGGACCGAATCATTTAGTTGCCTCTCAAAACAAGCATAGGTTGATCGGGACCGAATCATTTAGTTGCCTCTCAAAACAAGCATAGGTTGATCGAGACCTATTTTAATACAGGGCTGTATATGAGTGAGTTAGTGAATATGGTTTTACACCGCTTTTAGCAATATTCCAGCAATATCACGGCGGGGGACACCAGAAATGGGCTTCACACATTGTACCCATGTCGGGAATCGAACCCGGGTCTTCGGCATGACGAGCGAACGCTTTAACCACTAGGCTACCCGACCGCCCCCTGTATATGATGTATGATATCTGTTGTCCTTACAAACTTTCATAAAAAAATATTGAATGGTTTATGAGTTATGCTCTGCAAAATATAACCCTCTGAAGTCCAATTTCACAAAGAAATATTGTACGGTTAATGAGCTAGGCTCCGGAAAATTCTAATCTTCTTTTAACCTAAAACCAACTGGTTGCCTTGCAAAATCCAAATGTCAAAAAACAACTGATCAGCAAATGCCACCATTTCTGCACTTGCCTAATGTGTTTACAAAGTTTCCCAAAGAAATAAGAAACAGTTTCTGTGTGAGGTTAAAAAAAGGGGTAGAGTTTCTGGAGCATGAGTCAAACTTGCTGCCCTGGAAATGCAATTTTTAGAAAATAAATTCAAAA